GGTAGTTTATACGGTAGTTTATACGGTAGTTTATAAGGTAGTTTATAAGGTAGTTTATAAGGTAGTTTATACGGTAGTTTTACCCCCAGAGTGGTTTTCAAGTTGGAGTTCTCACGTCCAACTCCAGCAATTGACAAAGCAGGTAAGAGCTGAAAATTCTAAAATCTCATTTCCATACTGATCTGCAACTGTAATGACTTAAAAAATAAAAAAAGCTTTAATTTAAAATCCTTTTTAAGATAGAACTTATACATAAAATATACTTTGAAGCTTTAATTTACTGTTATACATAGATAATTGACGGTTATACATAGTCCTCTTATAATCATTAAACCTGTATTACCTGTGAAGGAATGTGTTGGATCCCAGGCTTTTCCCGACTCCTCCAGGTGCTATGTAGGACTGTGTACCCAACCAGTCAAGCTTCCTGTCATCTCCTCTGCTCCCTCCACCAGCTAGGGAAATTAGCATAAGAGAGCTTTGTCCTCTATTGACATGGTAATTCCACCTGCAAGCAAAGGTTCTCACAGCAGTGTCTGACACTGCGGCTAGGCACCCCCTGCCCAGCACCTCCTGTCACTGGCCCAGCGCCCAACACCCCCCCCCCCCATATCACTACCGGTGGGAGGGGGTTCTCGTCCTTTGGCCCCTAAGTATTTAAACCTGGAATTTTGCTAAATAAAGTTGACATTTACCTTTTGGGCAAATGGTCCGGGTCTCTCTGTGTCTGTGTTCTTAACTCCTGGGACATTGTTCCAAGCTCGCGGATAAGGGAGGTGCGCACCCTTATGGGGGAGTAGGGATTCGCGGATTCGGGCGGGACAGGAATGTCTAAATACTGCTATTAACCAAGTGATTTTACTTTCTGAGATATGTCACTGTTAATACTATTCTTTTTTGTGAGGTGCTAGGGACTGAAGACCGGCCTGCATACAGGGCAGATACGCTCTACAAATGAGCTACATCCCTATGCCTCAATAGGACTTTTTCATAGTTAAAATTTAAAGAACACATCTTAATAGTATTTAATTTTGTACCTATAAGAAAAAATAAAAGCCCCACAGGAGTCAACTCAGTTCATTCACACCTTTAACACTGACCATATTACTGTAAAAAAGGCAAGAGTTTAAACAAACTATCTTATAAAACTGAGTTTCAATGTGTGCCAAAAAGTATCTTTCAGACCATACATTTTAAAACATTCATGAAAGACAGCATTACTTTACAAAAAGTAGATATACTAACGTATTTCTCCTCAAGACTCTTGGCTCATCTATACTGTGTTTTCCCCCTTTTAACTCACATTTTAAATGTTTGGGTTCATCAGGAAGTGGTCTAGAATTGGTTAGGTTAAAGGCTTTAATTGACCATTAATTGTGGAAAAGATGAAGAGCAACGTAATGGTAATGCCCCAGACACACACAGCAGCTACACACATGCAATGCCGTAATTCAGACACAGCAACACCCTACACACATGCAATGCCCTAATTCAGACCAGCAGCACCCTACACACATGCAATGCCCTAATTCAGACACAGCAGCAGCAGCACCAAACCTCTCATTCTTAGATAACTATTGACTGCAAAAAAGTTACATTACAGTCTTTATATTACTTTAAAATAAATTATAATAAAGAACTACTTTAACAGAGAGGTGAGAATAAATCCTAACGATGAGTTTTGGTCAGAGCAGAACAACTGCTCTTGGTGCAGAGAAAGCACAGACAGAGGTAGAAGAATTACAATGCTAGGAGTGACTGGAAAGGGTGGTCAAGGCACGGGTACAGGAAGCCAGACCTTTGCTCGTTAACACTAAGCTCTACTCTTTTCTATGAGTGTGTATATTAACTTTGATTGGACCATTTCAAAATTCACCACTAAAAATCCCACTTTTGTATGTTTCAGGCCTCTGTTGCTTTCAACTGAAGGACCTTCCTTTGGTAGATATTTACAGTTATTAATGGATCAATGAAGTGCAAGGTTATAATCATGATAAGATTAATCACTATCACTCAATATACAGTGACACCACTTGTAATCCCAGCACTTGGAAAGCTGAAGCAGGAGGACTGTGGCTGTTGTGGGATATTTGATTGCATTGTGAATCCTGAGTTTGCATTTGCGTTAATTAAATGAAATCCACGTTGGGTCAGCAGGCAGAGTTAACAACTAGTTGACAGAAAGTAATGATGGTGGAGAGTCAGAGGGTATCTGGAAGACCACAGAGACACACACAGGAATTAGTAGGTAGGGCCTTGGTCTTTTGTTTTGGTGGAGGAAGGACGGGATCTTTGTAGAGGGCAGCAAAGAGAGGCCAGCCAGTTGCTACCCAGCCTCTGAGACAGCAGCTCTTCACCCCAGCCTCTGACTCCCGAGTCATATTGATACAGAGAATGGTAGATTTAATTAAAAGCTATACTTGGCTGCAGTGACATAGCTGGTGCCTGTGGGAACCGAATTCCTGCCAGGCCACGACTGCCAGAGAAGCAGGCCAGGAACTGCTAAGCCGCAATTACTGCCTGAAACAGCAGCAGATTAACGCAGAGCCTCTGTGATGGCCAAAAACAGCAGTGAGTTTGTAGTCTGCCTGGGCTGCAGAGCAGGACTCTCTCCAAGTCCAACAATTAACCACTGTGTCCAGTGAAGCTTCACTGTAAAGACAATCGACCATATCTTATAGAACTAGAAGGTGTTTTTATTTTTCATCTTAAAAGCACCTTTTTTCACATGTATGTGCTACAGAAGACTATCTTGTTGTGGTAGTTCAAATAATTCAAAACACAACAAGCATCTCAAAGCACAAGTTCACAAACCTGATTGTAAAGGCACTTTCCAGAGACACATGGTCATCTTGGAAAGAAACCTGGCAGTAGCTCACAACTTTCACAGATGTTGGTACTTGCACACCAGGAAGCAAACCTTGTAGCAAATGTTCTCTGTTAACCTCAGGAGTCCAGTTAACCTAGGAGAGAACACACACAACACAAAGCTGAGAGGCTTCACACAAAGTCTTCTCATAACCACTATTTTCTAAAGACTGAAGCAGGGTTCCAGGTAGAACAGGCTGCCCCAAAATTTATGTTGTTTAGGATGGACATGAACTCACGATCCTCCACCTCCAAACTGCTTGGATTATAGGAATGTACCACCATACCTCAATTACTAAAGAAGCTTAAACCTGTTATAAACTCCCAACCCTCAAACACACACCAAGGAAAGACTTTTTCTACTGTTTTTTTCTTGAGACATTCTATGCAGCCTTAACTGTACTGAATACTCTATGTAGATTAGGTTGCCCTCAAAATCAGAGCTCTAGCTCCTCTGTCTCCCAAGTCCTGGGATTAAAGGCACACACTACCATGTCCAGCTAGGAAGTCACTTTATGATCAGAATCAATGTTATATCACATAATAAAAAGCATCCTTGTGTTTGTTGCAAATCTTCAGAGTAAAAATTGAAATCCATTAAGACAAATATTTTTTAGAGCTTTGTTACAAGCTGTCAATGTGGCTACTATAGTATAAAGTGGAGATCAGCTAGACCTGATGGCACTTCCAGGAGTCTAAGGCGGATGATTCCAGGTTGGAAGACTAAATGGGCAATAAATATCAGGACCTTGTTCTTTGAAGAAACACAATCAAAAAACCAAAAAGACCTATAGTGTAGTATATGCAAGCAGTCCTAGTGGTTGGGAGATACAGGCAAGATTGTTAGCAGTTACAGGCCAGCTTGGCCTACACGAGACACGTATCTAAAAAACTAACATCACTGAGTGTGAGTGCCCGAAAAGAAAGCAACACGATGTGTATTTCTGCCATCTCTGAGAGGTCTGGGCAGGGCTCTGAATGTGATCCCTGTGGGCTGTACTCTGCGAGGAGAGGAAAGGGAGTCCCACTGCTGTTTTACCTGTCTGACTATCTTTGGGGTTAAACCTTTCTCAATTTCTATTTTAAATTTTTCATCCTTTGGATTACATGTGTCAATGTGATATTTAATCCATTCTTTTAAATTACCATACTATATCCTACTTTTAAATTTGATTTTTATTGAAGGATTTTTAGCTTGGGCTGAAGAGATGGTTCAGCTTTTAAGAGCACTAGCTACTCTTCCAGAGGACACAGGTTCAATTCCCAGTACCCACACGGAAGCTCGTGAAGGTCTGTGACCCCAGTTTCAGGGGATCTGACACTTTCACTGTCATACAAGTAGGCAAAATAGGCTGGGGGTGGGGGTGAAAGCCTTTAATCCCAGCACTCGGGAGGCAGAGGCAGGTGGATCTCTGTGAGTTTGAGGCCAGTCTGGTCTACAAGCACTAGTTCCAGGACAGGTTCTAAAGTTACAGAGAAACCCTGTCTCAAAAAAACCAAAAGCCACATGAAATAAAAATAAATAAATCATTAAAAAGAGGAGAGAGAGACAGAGAGAGAGTGAGAGAGAGGGGGAAGCAGGAGGATAGAAAATTCTGGCTTATTTTGGGCTATATAGCCAGACCCTATCACAATAAATAAAAAGAATGAACAAAAATTTCATTTTAAAAAATGGAATTTTTAGCTTAACTTCCTGGTTATAGCCTTTGATTGGGAGTTCAAAAATCATTGATACTGTTTTCTACTTTATGTTGTTTGAATGACAGAGGATAAGAAATAAGTATATAAGACAAAGGTTGTCTGCCCACCCTAATGCTACAAAATAGGAGGCCTGACTTCCTACAACCATTGTTAAGTCTCTGAAGACACACAACCACTTCAAAGACTGCAGGTCTGAGAAAGAAAAGAAAAAAGACATCTATACATTTTCCTTAACACAGCTAAAAATTTTTGATAAGAAAAAAAAAAGGTTTGCGTTGCGGAAATTCATTCAGCCAATAGCCTTTTAGGTACCAGTCCATTAGGGTGTGGTCTGAGGTATTATAAGCACAGACAAAAGTATGCTCAGGCCTTTCCTCCTTTCACCTTGTTGGTAGTCGGAGGCCAGTTCACTCCAGTGCCCACACAGCAGAGGAACACAGTGGCTCTTATTTCGAGTGATCCCCAATACACAGTTGTTATCCTTTCTTATGTGCTCTTATGGGCCTTTAATTATGTGACATTCTCCGTCCACTGTGGCCAGATCACAGCTCCCACTGCTCCCTGCCTCCCTGCCACCTGTCCTCATGCCTGTGGCTCAGCTCCCCTCCACTTTCCACCCCTGTGGCTCTCCTGTAGCTCAGCTCCCCTCCACTTCCCACCCCTGCAGCTCTCCTGTGGCTGCCTCACTGCTCAGGTGCAGCTTTGTGATATATTTTACTACGTTAAAGTTAAAACCTTCCTTTTTATTTACACAGAAAAGGACGAATGATGTGGGATGTCCTTCTACATATGTGTTGCTCTTATTGGCTAATGAAATAGAGCTGTTTTGGCCAATGGATTAGCTGAGTAAAGATAGGTGAGAAATCAAAGCCAAGAAACAGAGAAAAAGAAGATGGAGTCAGGTAGGACACCAGTCAGCCACTGAGGAAACAAGACACATAGAAAATGAGATGAAGCCACGGCCACATGGCAATACATAAACTAATAGAAATGATTAATTTAAGATGTAAGAGCAAGCTAGAAATACACGTGAACCATCGGTCAAACAGTGTTATAATTAATGTAGTTTCTGTGATTATTCGAGTCTGGGCAGTCAGGAAACAAAAGCGCAGTCTCCATCTAGTTTGGCCCACCCCATCTCCCCTTCTCCCCTGAAGAAGGAAAGGAGGCGGCTCAGGAAGTAGGTCCTTGACACAGGTGTTCCTAATACTTCAATGTGTGGGTGAGAGAGGTGATAGTTTCTTGCAAGCAGCATCTCAGACCTACTTCTCTTTTAACTCTTCCTCCCTTTGCAATGGAGGAAAGAAATCACCTGTCAAAGCAAGGTCCCTGGACCTGAGAAAGGCTCGGAGCTATACTGGGGTCCTGAACACCCAGTGCAGTTGCTAGCCAGCTAATAAAGATTTTCATTTGACTTAAACGCATGTCTGAATAGTCTTCTCTAGTGGGTGCTTCACAAACTTCCTGGAGGCCCCAGGGAGATCCCCAGATACCAGATCCTGACAGCGGAGGTCTCAGAGGCCATCAGAATAGGGAAAGAGTTCAGGGGTCAAAGAGTTCCTAGGGGGTGTGCAACCCGGGTTCCAGGACTCCCTCTGATCAATTGCTGCCTAATGCTCTGAGGATTCTGACACCTCTGGAAGTAAGTCTGGTCAAAGTGTCTTCTGGGGGAAGTGTCAGACTGCTCAGAAGAATTAGGAACACAAAGAGAAGCTAGATGCAACCATTGATCCAGTGTCCTGGATGCGTGTAAGACCTCAGTGGACTCCCCTGCTCTTTTCAGGTGTACGAATGTATAGTGGCTCACCCTAGTTGTTGCCTTTGTGTTTCTGTCAGTTCTCTTGGTTGGAGAAACAGATACAATGTATAAAATGGAAGTGGGAATGAGCCATCCCAGAACTACAGTCTCCCAATACTGCCCCTTGAACAAATTCTCACACGGTCACAAGCAGCGCTGCACCATGCCCTCCAACCTTCCCACCCCCGCTTCTGGCAGACTGAAAAAAGACTGCCCCATCTAATAAATGGGCGTCAGTGCTCAGAGACCGGAACCTATAAAGAAGTCAGTGGCCAATCTGTCCAAAAAACTTGATCCTGATTCTTCTGACTTGTTTCTGGCTGACTTGTTTGTGGACAGTTGCCACGACAGCCATGCTAAATAAAAAAAAAAAAAATAGACTCTGGGTCAGGAACTGTTCCTAAGCTCCCCATACCCCGGAGTGGTCTTCCTGAGGAGGACCCCTGATACTTTGATGTCCAACATCCAAATGATGATCAGGACTTCTGGAGCAACCCTGTATTGGACTTTGTAAAACTTCAGTCATTAACCCTAGCTAGCCTGCTACGAGAGGATAACAGTAAGAGAGCGGTGGGCGGGGCTCCCGCAGGCACCGGGAGGGGCGGGGCTTCGCGCTTCCTATGCCCCTGAGGACAGGTGACCGCAGGAAGACCACCACTCCCATTGCCTCAGCCGTGGCAGGCCAAGGAAGCAGGACCGGGGCCACCTGACTGGTTAATGGCGGTGACCCACCCAGACTTCAGGCCCCCACCTCCTAGTAAGCATCCCTCCCGTGCCCGGCGTGTACCTGACAAGCAGCAGCGCGGAACCCGCATAGCCTGCGCGGTTGGAGACCTGCGGTGCGCGCTCCCCGAGCTCCGACTCCTTCCCGCGCAGTCAAACAAGTACACGGTCCTGCAGCCGTCGACGCCTCCTTCCCTCCCAGACCCCGCCGAGAGGCCTCCGGGATCGCTGGCGCCAGTCACTGCCATATTGCGGTGAGCACCCCACGGCCCTCCCTAGGGAGCACTTCGCGGCGACGCCCACTCCGCGCGTGCCCTCGGCTCCAGCTGCCGTGACTAGGGGTCTAGGCCGGCCGCGCAGCACCTCCTCGGCTGCCGCCTGGAAGCAACCCGGGAACCGATTCAAACGCTCTCTTGGCCGGGGTGCCACGCGTCACATCCGCGACCCGCGGAGGCAGGGATGCGCTGCGCGCGCCATCATCCACGAGAGCCTGGCTTCCTGACCCGAGGGCAGGCCACACAGGAGGGAGCGAGCGGTGGGCGGGGCCGACGAGTACCAAAGGCCACGGGGCGGGGCGGGGCAAGCGGGGTTACACGCTGTTCCTCCATCCCTCCCCCCGCCCTGCACACAACGCCACGCCCCTAACAGGGCGGGGATTCGTGCATCCCACGCCCCTGGGGACCAGGGACTCCGGGTAGAACTCTGCCATTGCCCTGGGGCCCTTGCCACTTGCAGGCCAAGGAAGCAGAACCAGGGCCTTCTGACAAGTTTATGGCGGTGACCCAACGGGGCTTCGGGCCGCCTACCCCCACCTACTGGCAATCATCCCTCCTGTACCTGGGGGCGAACCTGACACACAGAAGCACTGAGCCCTGCATAGCCTATGCTGTTTGAATCCAGCAGGGAGTGCTCCCTGAGCTCAGACTTATTTCCGCATCAGTCAAACAATTATACTGTCTTGTAGCCAGCTACGCCTCCTTCCCTCTGATACTCTGACAAGAGGCCTTCAGGTTTGCTGGCAAACGTCACTGCCTTATTGTGAAGACCAACCCACGGCCCTCCCTCTTGGACGCTTGCTAAAATATAGTCTAATGATCTTATATACACACAAACACACACACACACACACAATTGCAAAGATCTATTTAAAGATAAAAAAGGAAAATGGGAACAATGGTAAACAATGAACAGCTTCAAAAAGGGTAATTTTTTGCTTTGTATTACTCTTTTTTTTTTCAAAAACAATACACGCTGAAAATGCTAACAATTTCAAAGAGGAAATTTTTCAGAGTATCCATTTCAAAAAATTCCAAACTATTTTTTGATAGTTGGTATTTCTGCTAGATTACTTACATTGCTCTACTTCAAATATTGAATTCACTCATGGGCAGAAGGCAGGTTGAGAATACCCATTTACAGTGGTTTTCATGAAAGCAAACTAGTGCTTTTTACAATTTTATTATTATTTTAATAATTCCACATGTTTACTTTGCATGCGGGCCACTGCTGCTTGCCACCTTGTTATCTCCGTGCCCACCCTCTTCCTTCACCTTAGACAGCTCTCTCTTTTTTTGTTGTTGTTGTTTTGGGTTTTTTTTTAAAGTAATTTTATTAAATTATAAAAGTTTCCATTTACGCCCCTCTTCCCAACACCCTCCCACTCCCCCCACCCCTCCTCCTCCCTCTTTGTCCCTAAGGGCAGTCAGGGTTTCCAGCCCTGTGGGAAGTTCAAGTTCGTCCCCCCTCCCTCCAGGTCCAGGAAGGTGAGTATCCAAACAGACTGGATCCCAAAAATCCAGTATATGCAGAGGAAACTAGTCCCAGTGTCATTGTCAATGGCTTCTCAGAAAGACTCCGGGCCAGCCACATTCAGAGAATCCGGCCACATTCAGAGAATCTGGTTGGATCACGTGCTCGTTCAGTCGCAGTCCAACTGCCCTTGGTAAACTCTCATTAGATCCGACCCCTTGTATCAGTGGGTGATAGCATCCCTCGCAGTCCTTCGTCATTTTCTTCGTCCTTCTGCTCCTCATTTGGACCTTGGGGGGCTCAGTCCGGTGCTCCAATGTGGGTCTCCGTCTGTATCGCCATCCATCGCCAGATGAAGGATCTATGGTGATAAGCAAAATATTCATCAGTATGGTTATGGGCCAAGGCCGGTTCAGGCACCCTCTCCTCTGTCCAGAGAACAATCTGGGGATCTCTCCTTGGACCTGGGATCCCATATATAATCAAGTTTCCTATAAACCCTAAAATGACTCCCTTAGTTGAAATATATTCTTCCCTGATCCCATATTCATCCTTCCTCCCTTCCCCCCATCCCGGTCAACCGAGCTTTCTCCATTCCTCCCCTACTCCCTTCTCTCTAACCCTCTCCCCTTCCAACAACCCTCCCCCCCCCCCCCCCCATGCACCCAAGGTTACCTGGGACTCTTGACTATTTCCTACCTCCTGGCGGATAGCTAAATAATCTTCATCAGGTTCGTCTTCTTATTTAGCTTCTCTAGGATCACGAATAATAGGCTCAAAGACCTTTAAATTATGGTTAGAATCCACTTGTGAGTGAATACATACCGTGTTCCTCTTTTTGGGTCTGGCTTACCTCACTCAGTAAAGCGTTTTCAATGTCCATCCATTTGCATGCAAAATTCAAGATGTCATTATTTTTTACTGCTGAGTAAAACTCTAATGTGTATATGTTCCACACCTTTTTTAACCATTCTTCTATTGAGGGGCACCTAGGCTGTTTCCAGGTTCTGGCTATTACAAATAGTGCTGCTATGAAACATAGTTGAACAAATGCTTTTGTAGTATGCTAGGGAATCTCTAGGGTATATTCCCAAGAGTGGAATTGCTGGGTCCTGAGGGAGGTTGACTCCCAGTTTCCTGAGAAACCGCCACACTGATTTCCACAGTGGCTGCACAAGTTTGCATTCCCACCAACAATGGATGAGTGTTCCCCTCACCCCACATCCTCTCCAGCATAGGCTATCATTGGTGTTTTTGACTTTAGCTATTCTGACAGGTGTAAGATGGTATCTCAAAGTGGTTTTGATTTGCATTTCCCTGATCGCTAAGGAGGTTGAGCATGACCTTAAGTGTCTTCTGGCCATTCGAAGTTTATCTGTTGTGAATTCTCTGTTCAGTTCAGTACCCCATTTTTTAATTGGGTTAATTAGAGTTTTAGTGCCTAGTTTCTTGAGTTCTTTGTATATTTTGGAGATCAGACCTTTGTCTGATGAGGGGTTGGTGAAGATCTTCTCCCAGTCAGAAGGCAGCCTTTTTGTCTTACTGACAGTGTCCTTTGCTTTACAGAAGCTTCTCAGTTTCAGTAGATCCCATTTATTCATTGTTTCTCTTATTGCTTAGACAGCTCTCTTGCACTGTGTCTATCATTGTGTTCTGTGTCCCATGAAGATTAACAGGGCCATCTGTGTTTGAACCTGTCAATGGGAGCCTGTGGAGCTCAGCACAAGATGTATAAATAAGGAGAGTGATTCCTGTCTCTTCCCCAATCTGTTGATAACCCTTTGTGGCTTGGTTGTTGATGGGTCTGGCAATGTGTGAGCCCAGAGCCGGTTGCTGTGAGAGTTTATCATAATAGTTCTGGCAAGGTAGGTAATGTCTTCTCACAATCCTTTAACCTGTAGCCCAGTTCTTATGTGTACCCACCCCTGCTTCTTCAGCATTCCCGGGACCGTAGAGTGGGTGGATAGTTGATTCATTTGTGGCTATTTTGACTCCTTTTTATGTCCTGTCATATTTCTCTTGGTAACTTCAAATATCACTACTCTGTCTAAAAACTGAGATCCCTTTTGCATTAAATGTAAACATATGTATGTGTGGGATGCAAAAACACGGGCAAGTGCACACACACATACCATTCCTGGTAAGAACTGGAATTTGGAAAACTGATTTTCAGAGCATTGAACTATTTTGTGGGAAAAACCAAATAGTGTGCTTCGGTGACTATCAAATCAAGTAAATGTTAGCCTTTCATAATTACACAAAATCACACTGTATACGTGATACCAAGCAAGAAATCCCAGCACTTTACAAGGTTACTCCTCCTGCAACAAAGCTGCATAGGCGACTGTGCTCTCTTCTGATTTGTGTAGAGACCTTTGCTCTCATCCTAATGTACGATGAATCTTGATGTCTAATCCATGAGAACTTTGTTCTTATTTATATTATCTTCCAGAGGATTGAGAGCAACAGCCCATGTGCTTTACGGCTACCAGTGCCATCATTCATGCTCATACATACATACATGCATACATGCATACATACATACATACATGCATACATACATACATCATACATACAATGACATGAATGCTTCTGTCACTGTCCCTTTATTTTCAGTGTCCAGTATCTTAGTTTAACTGTTGCTGTGAAGTGAAATCCAGAATTCTGTGTTTGTCTGTTCCTCTTTTTACTGAGCTTTTGACTTTAAAATTTAGCAATATAAATCTGTATCTCAGCGTCTATTGTTAACATTTATTTTCCTCTCAACAGAAGCACGAAACATTCTGATCACTCCCTAAAGGACAATTTCCTTTGTGCTTCTAAGAAGTTTATTAAGGGTTAAAAGAGTTTGTAAAGTAGAAGGCATGCATGTTTTGCTTTTTCTTATTTATATTATAGGAAATCTCTGCCTTTGCTCTTGTGACACTCATTATTTGATATTAAAACAAAGCATCGCTGGTGAGCTGCACTCCTGAGCACCTGGTGATTGTTGATTGACAGCTCAAACGTGTGACCTACTCCCCTTTGTTTTGGTTTTCTTGAATCTTAATTTGTCACCCTTGGGATCCTCAGCAACATTCCAACTCTGGCAGTCCTTCATGAATTATAAACGATGGGCATGATGGACTGAACTTCTGCCCTGCAGTGAGCATGAGCCCCGAGCAGAGGCTGCCAGCCTTCTCTGTCACGTTGTCTGCTGTTTCGTCTGCACAAAACAACTCTGCCATTGTCTCCTGCTAGCCAGAAAGGAGGGCTGGCAATTTGGTTTTATAGATTAGCTCAGCTAAAATCATTTTCACAAAACGTTCAGCTCCTATGCTCATATTCTTTAAGTTTTACCTATGAAATGTATTTCCCCCGGAGTTATTTTTAACAACGAGTACTTCTCCAAATACTTTATTTATCCATTGATTTTCAGGAAATGTGTACTTGGCACTGGTTCTAATTTCTTTTCTGTTGTGATAAACACGATGACCTAAAGCAACCTGGGGAGGAAAGGGTTTATTTGGCTTATACTTCCAGATCACAGTCCATCATTGAGAGAACTCAGGGTAGGAGCTCAAGACAGGAATTAAAGAGAAAACCACAAAGGGATGTGGCTTACTAGCTCACTCCTAGATCTGTGCTCTCCTAGCTTCCTTATTCAGCCCAAGCCAACCTGCCTGGGAGGAATGCTGCCCACTGTGGGCTAGCCCCTCCCTCATCAATCAAGACAGTGCCCCAGAGACTGGCCCATAGGCCAATCTGATTTAGACAACTCCTCAGCTGAGGTTCCCCACTC